GACCACCAGGTACATATTGCTTGGAAGACGACTAAAGTACAGAACATTTTCTATGCCCCTGACCGGACTTCTCCAGACTTAGATGGTATATTTTTGGGTTAGATTTATTGAAAATGCACGAGCTACATTTTCTCCCTCGAAAAGGGGCTAAGATTCATAAAGGAGTCTGGTAAATTTGTAGAAGGGCAATGAATTCCCGCCCCCTACATATACATCCCTATCATCTAAATCCTCTCCTAGGGCTTAGGTACAATGGTACCTGGCTATAGCTCACGGAACGCTGTCTGAGCATATGTGCAGTAAACACTTGCATTGCTTAGGTAATTTTAAATGGGACCCGGGTAGAATGGTGTTTCGTGAATGGCCTAAAGCGCTTCAAAGCACACAATGTACCCTGCAATTTTTGTCTTAACGAGTTGAGGAGTAGGCGAGAGTAGCTAGCAACAGCTAATGGACTAAGCTGTACTGCTCGATGAACGAACAACATGGATTTGGCTATGGATCCCCGGATTCACACAGGAATAGCCGCCAGTTTCGAAGTCCCTTATAATGATTTCTGCAGAATCCGTAGAGATTTAAAAGAGATAGACTCATCCGCTCCAGAAAAAACGACTGAGAGTTTACGTGGTTAATTGATGTGTTGGCGTCGGAAGCCATCTTTATGTGGTTCCGATTTCGCATTGTGAGTAAGAAGCAACAAAGCTTCGGCTTGAATACTCGGTTTAGGCACTCTATGTACCGCCAGATACCGTAATAAACAGTTGAGCTTACCGCTCATTTAGGAGAAAATGAAATAGCCTCAACGACAAAGAGAATAATAGAACTTTGTTACGTTCGTTCGGTCGCGGTAACAAGGTGACCTGTTCCTTCCTCTGAATCTAATCTTATCTAAGTTGATTTTTTCAAACAGAGTCGTTTTCAATTTTACCACGTTACAAGGTTCTGAACAGAAAAAGTATATTTTGAACAAATGTGAAATCAAATTAGTTTGATAGTAAGAAGTAGNTGAACAGAAAAAGTATATTTTGAACAAATGTGAAATCAAATTAGTTTGATCGTAAGAAATTTGATTCAAAATGAACATTTGAAAACACATTTACATGTTCTAACTGTAGCTGAGTGCGCAGAGGTGCTCGCTATTATTTATTAGGTGCAAGAGATCCTAGGTTCGACTGCCCTCTGCATCAACATAAAGTCTTAAATTTTTATTTGGTTTCTACTATTATGAAAAAGCATATGTGAAGTGCAGAGCGAAAGCCTATTCAAAAGAAAAAATCTTCACATAAAAATCTGTTTAAAGTAAACAAAGGATCGCTTGGCGGCAAATCCTATGTATGTATGTGTTTTAGTTTGAAATAAACACGATATGGTTTATGTTTTCTCCGTGTGCTCTTTCACTACAATCGAAAACAAAAATGCATGATTTTAATACAAATTTAATCAATTTCCAGGAGGGTCACGCTGAGATATCGAATTTGCTCATTGAACATAAGGCCAGCGTAAATCATCCAGCCAAGAATGGACTAACTCCGATGCACTTGTGCGCACAAGAAGATAATGTAAATGTAGCCGAAATTCTACAACGTAATGGCGCCAATATTGATATGGCCACCAAAGCAGGCTACACACCGTTACATGTAGCCGCCCATTTCGGTCAAGCAAATATGGTGCGCTTTTTATTGAATCATGGTGCTAACGTGGATGCGGCTACGTCAATCGGCTATACACCGCTGCATCAGACAGCTCAGCAAGGACATTGTCACATCGTTAATCTACTATTGGAACATAAGGCCAATGCCAATGCACATACCGTCAATGGACAGACACCGTTGCATATTGCACGCAAATTGGGTTATATAAGTGTTTTGGATTCTTTGAAATCGATTACAAATGAACCAGATGCAGCAACACAAACTCAAACCGATGAAAAGTATCGCGTTGTTGCACCTGAGGCAATGCATGAATCCTTTATGTCGGATTCCGAAGAAGAAGGTGGTATGTATTATGCTATGCAATCTACTATTTTTTGTATGTATCTCTGGTATCTTTGGACATTCGTATATATATAAATTAATTCATTCACATTTGAAAAGTTTGCTTGGTTCTCCATTTCGTAAATCATACATACATACATATGTATTAACAAAGCACCCTTTATATTTCATTTATACATCTGCATATAGAAACAATCGCTTTACAAGACAAATTCTCATTAAATCGTTACATATTTGTGAATGAATGTAACTAGATACTAAATAAAATATTATTTTGCTCTGCCGAAGAGTGTACTATGTATGTACAACCTTAACTGGTATAAAAACTTTGACATGCTACTCGAATAACACAATGCGAAGCACTCCACTAATGTGACACCAAGTTAAAAATCTTCCGTTATCCATTTAAGTATGTGTTTGCCTAGCCTTATTATTATCAACCTAGTAAAATACAATACGATAATTTGTGAGAAATTTCAAATCAATTCTGAGTACATATTAAATAAGTTCTATAATTTATGAATATTTTTGTTTGTATGTATGTTTGACAAACTGTGTCTCAGGCGACACAAACGATTGGGATCCATGGTATGGCATAAAGGGTGATCGAAATACGAATGAAGACCACGTTTATCTTCCATATTACCAGGGCGAAACGTACTTTATGTCTAGTAAGTTTCACACATTGGGCTTTGCATAAATTAGCCATATAAAACCAAATTACAGTAAATGAAATAATAATAAAATATTCATATTTCTTATAAAGTTCCTTATAAAGTGTGTGTGCGTGTGGTAGTGTTTCCAACAAAATTTTTGGTTTTTTGTTAAAATGCGATCGGTTTATATATTTTTGTAAATAAATAGTAACATGTCAAAATTTTTA